TAACCTTTCCAAAAATATATACTTTTGTGGGAATTTTTGGGGGATTTGCTAACTTATATAAGGAACTGGACTAAATGCTATTTTTTTCTTTTTAAATTACGATCAGAATAGAAAAAATTCTGATTTAAAAGTGCTTAATAACAGTTATTTTGTCTCCACTAAAGTAGAAGGATCATGTTCATTGTAATTCCCTCTGTTTTACTGTATTGTACTCTATATTACTGTGTATTACTGTAGTACATTTAAGGATACTACATCACAGTACTTCAGTTCCATCCAAAATAACGAAGAGAGAAGTGAAAGGGACACGTTCCAGTTTGTTTCTGTAAAATTAAGCACCGCAAGTATTTTCTAAAAACATCTTTTTTTTTAGGAGAGGCATCGAGTCTTCTCAAGTCACAGGCCTTAAGTCCAAGTCGAGTCTCGAGTCACTGGCCCGTAAGTCCAAGTCAAGTCCAGGTCGTCTGTTTTGAGCTTCAAGTCATTTCAAGTCTTTAAACCAAAGTAGAGCTTAGAGTTTTGCAATTTAAATGAATTTTAAACTAAATGGTATTTAAAAACTCATGGTATATTTATACATGAGTATTTATAGAGTTGTAGAAATGCAAATTTTTCTTTTTTAAATGTCTTGACAAGATCTTGGTGTGAATCATTACGGTCAGAATAGAAAGAATTAAGATTTAAATGTGCCAAATATTTGTTATTTTGTCTGCACTGAAATGGAAGGATCATGTTCATTGTAGTTCCCTCTGTTTTACTGTGTTGTACTGCATATTACTGCATATTACTGTAGTACATTTGAGGATACCACATCACAGTACTTCAGTTACATCCAAAGTAACAAACAGAAGAAGGAGTGACATGTTCCAGTTTGTTTCTGTAAAATTAAGCACTGCAAGTATTTTAAAAACACCGAGTCTTCTCAAGTCACTGGTCTTAAATCTGAGTCAAGTCCCAAGTCACTGACCTTCAAGTCCAAGTCGAGTCCCAAGTCTTAGTTCATTTTATCAAGTCCTAAAATAGTGACTCCATTCTGACTCACGTCCAAGTCACGACTCTGAAGTAAAGTGTTAATATTGATTACAGTGAAATATTTTAAAAGCATTAAGTTTAAAAACAGATATAATCACAAATATAAGTAAGAGATATTTTGGCTCTCGTTTTGGTTTGTGTAACTGCTGAAGTGAAGAAATAGTGTATGGGGAAAAAAGTATTCTGTTTTAATTACTAGTGCCAAAACTATAAAAGTGACAAATATGAAAAGGAAGAGCAGGAAAGAGAAAATTCTGCCGCCCGAGAAGAGGTACCGAGTGCAATTTTTGAGTTAAAAGTAAAAAGACGAGAGATGTGAATAGAAACTGCGTGATGTCACTCAAAAAAAAATCTAATTTCCCCACAATTTTCGGCAAATTTCTGGTCAATATTCAAACCACTTCCATCCACAAATCGAAGTAATTTAAAATGAAAACCCCATTTCCTCTCGCTCTGCTCCTTCACGTTTAAATGGCGTTTGGATGATGTGTTCTGACGCTGATGTGCTCCACGATTTGTGTTCGGCTTGTTTGATTACAAGGGCCTGTTTCTACGGGGAAGAAGTAGCGCCGATTCTGTTTGGTGCAGACAAGTGAGCTTAACTTAAGAGCTTTTGGTTTGGTTTGATTAGACAAATGGGCCTGAAGGGGCTTTAACAACAAGTATTAAATATGAGAGAGTTGTGGTGAAGAAGATGATGAAGAGGAGGATCATTTAGCGGAGTGAGAGTGTTTTACAATGGTGTTTTTGGAAGCAGAAAAACATGGTGGCGTAGATGACAAGAAGGAGGGATGTTAGAAACGGTCGTGTGGGATTCAAGCATAGACTGTTTACATAAACGGACACGGCAAACCCACGAGCCGTCGCGTTCCAAGTAGGAAGCGAGCACGGGCGCGCTGCCAGCTCCATCGACTCTGCCTCCAATCGACTTTACATAGAAAAAGTGTCACTCCTCTCTGTAGCTGCTGCAGTGAGCCACGTCATTTTGGGCTTAAAATGTTAATATCAACCCGCTTTATTTTGTTATTTTGTACATTAATAAATTCCTATTCCTAATGTGAAACTTGCATCCAAATTCGTTCTTACAACTGCTCACCTCATGAGCTTCATGTGACTGGAGTTGAACTCTATGGGTGACGACACACTGACTTAATCCACTTTTTTATAAAAAAATAAAATTCAACAACATCTGCATGTTTTCTCTTCTTTGGAGATATGTAATGTTAAACATTTTCTTATTAAAATAAATGTTTAATATGATGATTTATTATGATCTCGTGGGCCAAATATAATTATATCGCAGGTCAAATTTGGCCCCTGGGCCTGAGTTTGACAAATCTGGTCTATGGGCTTAACATTAGCCATAAAAAAAAAGCCAATATATATACATTATATATATATATATATATATATATATATATATATATATATATATATATATATATATATATATATATATATATATATATATATATATATATATATATATATATATATATATATATATAAATTGTGATTCAGTAAAAGTATCTTTACTTAATTCCTACTCAAGTAAAAGTAACCCAAAAAAAAATAAAAAATCAATGCGAGTAAAAGTAAAAAAGTACATCATGTAATATGTAATTTGAGTAAAAGTTACTTAGTTACTTTCAGTTATTTGATGTAAAAAAGGATGAGTCCTTAATCTAATCCAGGACAAGTCGTTTTAATCAACTTTTAGATGATACAGCAAACTTTGCTGAGTGCAAACTGTATACATGTTAAAGACAAATGAACACTTACTATTTTAACACTTGCATTATTATGTTATTCCCTATTTTGTGTTTGAATTCAAATATCTGTCCGTGGTTTGGCAAAGAGTTTCCTTCACTTTCCTCTCGAGAATTATTCAATGCACCTTCTTCTTGAATATCGTCCATGTCGTCCTCTGGCTCTGGCTCGGCACCAGCATCATCCAAGTCGATCCAAGACAGACTGACAGTTTTGTCCAATGACTGAACATTCTATAGTGAAAATGCAGTGTGTCTTTCATTTTCAGCAGATTGTTGGATTTTGTTTGCATTTCATTTTTTTCTCTGTCAATCTGATTTTACTCAGTAGCGATGGCGGGTTCCAGTGTAATGAAGTTACTTGGGTCAAAATGTACTCCAGTAAAAGTAAAATGACCTACTTCAAAAAATACTTTACAAATTACAAATTACTCATAAAAACTACTCAATTACAGTAACGTGAGTAAATGTAATTTGTTACTTTCCACCGTTAACGACTGTAGATTCAACTTAGACTTAGACAGACTTTATTGATCGACAAGGGAAAGTATTTGTCCAAATAATTGCGCAATTATAGATCAGAAAAAACAAAACAAAACAAAACAAAACATGAAAACAGGGTAGTTTGCATTCATTGATTAAAGGTTCACCTGGAATGTTCCACAGTATGGCATTAAATTCTTTTAGACTGCATTTCGATGACCTTCAAAAACATTCTGTATAGACTGTGATTGGACTTGCCTCTCCACAGATCTGACCTTGAACTTGGCCGGATATCATTACCTTCTTGTCAGCAATTGATAGGTTTAATGTCATACTGTGGAACATTCCAGGCAAAGCAAAACATATCCACGGAGACGAGCAAGCGGTGGACTCTCCTCTGGCTCGAGATGTACATTTGAAATCGTTTTTGGTCGTGAGTTGCCCTGCGGCTGAATCGCCCCAATGAATACATTATTTTGCGCGTTTTATTAAAGTCGTAATGGAAAAGTAAATTGTAATTTTACTCCCAGAACTCGGGGAACGACTTTATCAACTTAACCTTTTCCACATTTCCACATGAGCTGCAAAGTCGCTGATTCAATTCCTATTCCCCAATGCTTGTGTCTGTCGAACAACTGCAACTGGGGACAAAAAAAGTAAAAAAATAAATAAATAAATCTTGTATAAAACTCCACATTTGAAACATTTTAATTTCTATGTAAATTTCTATCTTGTCTCAATGCTGTGGTCATTTCATACATTTATTCATTCAATTTGAGCCAAAACCAGGATCTCAAAATAACACTGGCCTATTATCGAAGAAATTTTGTGCGTGAACTAGTGAAATTTTATCATAAATTATATCGTGGCAGAGCAAGTTTCTCAATATATACTGTATATTTTCTCTATACTCTATGCTCGTTGGATTTAATAAGTCAAGTTAATAATTCAAACCAGGACTAAACCAGGACTAAACCTGGGCTAAACCAGGACTACACCAGGACTAAACCAGGACTAAACCATGACTACACCGGGACTAAACTATGACTACACTGGAACTACACCAGGACTACACCAGGACTAAACCGGTCTCAGTCCCAGTCTTAGTCCTGGTCTGGTCTCTGTCTCAGTCCTGGTCTCAGTCCTGGTCCTCCTGGTCCCGGTCTGGTCCGGTCTGGTCTGGTCCCGGTCTCAGTCCTGGTCTGGTCCCGGTCTCAGTCCCGGTCTGGTCCCGGTCTCAGTCCTGGTCTGGTCCCGGTCTCAGTCCTGGTCTGGTCCCAGTCTCAGTCCTGATCACTCGACAGTCTACGGCACGATCCTGTTTTAGTCCTGGTTTAGTCCTGGTTCAGTCCGTCATTATCTGTTTTTTCAATTTGATTTTGGAGACAAATAATGAAGAAAATAGTTTTTTTTTGGTTGTAATTTTCTTATTTTTGGTTTTATTTTGAAAAACGAATGAACGAATGATACACGGATTGAGACGGTTTGTGAAATGTGTTGTTTGAATTGATTTTGTATTCTTTGAGTTTTTGCTTCAAATTGTTTTCGTCAGCGTTCACCAAAGTGTGCCTTGTGTTGCTATGGGAACTGCAGAAACATTCCTCCATAGACGTACATGTAGAACACTCCAAACGCTGAAAAAACATGCTAAATCATTATATTAAACCGTTCTATCTCCTCTTGTTTGTTTTTTCCGCAGATCCGGCCCGGGTTGCCATGACGAGCGAGGAGTGTCCTGTGCCGCTGGGGGCAGGGCCAGGGCAGGCGGAGGACTACAGCTCGGCGCACAGTGATGACATCATGGAGGAGGCGGGCCCGGCGGGCGACGACATCAGCCTGGGCAGTGACCTGAGCACTCTGGTGGTGCCGTACCCTGAGCTGGCCCCGGTGGTCTTCTTCTGCCTCAAACAGACCACCTGCCCCCGCAACTGGTGCATCCGAATGGTGTCCAGTCCATATCCTTTCGAGAAAAAACAACACGAGAACCATTCATGTCGCTCATTTCATATCATAAGTTTACATAACAGGGAAGGAGGATTGAGGATTTGAGATGATTTGCAAACTGGGGCTGAAAAATTAATCCCAGTTAAATCAAAATCTCAAGTTCAATGGTCGTAATTAGTAAATCACAAACTGCAATTATATAAAGGTACATGATGTAAGTTTCTGGAGTTGGCCCATCACCTGAATAGAAATAAAAAAGTTAAAACAATACTTTGGAACATTCTCCATGGAGACAGATAAGTTTTATAATAACAGTCTTGTGGAGATGCAAGGCTGCAAAGTAGAGGTCTGCGCCCGCAAAGAATTGTAATTATCATTCCCGCTCCCGCCCACATCCACGATATTTTGTCCCGTTCCCGTCCGCAAATCCCGCAAGATGGGGACGTTCGCTTTCTTAAGGTCTATCAAACACTGAGAAACAGAAAGGAATTGTTTTAAATGTGCGTGAGATTAGACCATATCCGCGAATTTAGGCTGCTTAAAATGTTTTTATTAATGCCAAATAAAATATCCAGCACAAATTATGTATTTTAGGCAACTATTAATCATATATTTTACTTTACACTCATATTTAGTTTGTGCTCCCGCCCGCACCCGCAATCAGCTTTCAAAATGTGTCCCATGCCGCACTGTTTTGCGTCGGGTCCCGCGAGACCTGTGCAGGGGTATACAACACAGAGTAAAGACATTTTCAGAGCCAACTATATATATATATTTTTTTTAAAGACCACTTTTATACTAGTCTAGTTGGATGAAGTGTCTTGCCTAAGGACACAATGACAGAACTTTTAGTTCAGGCAGAAATTGATCCTCCAACTGTCTGTCTAAAAGTCTTTTTTTTTTTTTGGCTAAATGTTACATACTGGGGCTTTAAGTCCTTTGCAAACAACAAAGCAGTTTGCTTTATTTCAGGCATGTCCAAACTATGGCCTGTGGGCTAAATGCGGCCCTCAGACAAATTTTTCTTGGCCCTCAGGCTTCCAGGAGAATTGGCCCAAATTACATTGCGTCAATTAAAAATTAACTTTTGCTTCAAGTTTTTTGAAAATCTACCTTGATAAAACAAATATTTCATATGTATTGTATGGTTTTAAGGATCTTAGCGTGGATAAAGACTGATGGCTCATTCTAACGTGTAAAACATGCAGATGTTTCAATTATTCACTGTATTGAGCATCAGTCTATGGCCCTCAATCAGCCCTCTGCTTCACCTGTGTTTACATATGTGGCCCTTGATAAAAAAAAGTTTGGACACCCCTGGCTTATTCCCTAAAAATCTGGTAACTGTAGTCTAGACTTGTACAAACATGTTCTGAAATACATGAGATTCTAAAGACAATCTAAGAAGTGTAAAGAGCCAAATACTGTGGCAAATTTCAGCTTCATGATAAAAAAAAAGTTTACCAAACATTTGAACCATGTTAAAAACATGAAAAACAGAACAGTTTGCAGTGGTCCAAAGTTATTCCTGACTGATCTTGTGCATTCAGAGCATCTTAATTATTCTACACACTGAGTTCATAAGCAGTTTTCACAACTTTTGGCCATCACAGTAAAAGTATTGGAACTTCCATTTTCCAATAAAACACTTTATAGAGTGGACTTATTTAGACCTGAAGAGCTGCTTATACAGTATACAGGGACAAGACAACATTTCCTCAAATTAAGGCTGTGCAATTAACTGAATTTTGATCGCGATTTCGATTTGTGTGTCAAACGATCCTCAATCTGTTGAAACGAGTAAAGTTTAACAAAGTTTATTTTATTTTTTTTAAATCTAGAGATTGTAGAACAGCTGGATTTATAGTTTATTTTGGATACATTTATGTTTTTCCATGTTACATTGCACAGCTTATTTTTTATTATTATTTTATTTCTTGTCAGTATTAAACCTTTATTAAATCTTCTGTGCTTTAAGCCATGTTATAATACTGTCCCCTGTTCAAAAACAGACCTGGAGTTGTGTGTTTTTTTCATTCGCACTTGTTTGAGTCTCCATCTCCAAAGCTCAAAATCCTGTGTTCCAACTTGTGATGTCATGAAGTGGCAGTTTTCAAGTTTTACTTTGTGTCCAGTAGAGATTGGAAAGTCCAGGGTCTGAAATCATCCAAAATCAAACTGTTTAAAGCCAGAACTCAGCCTAAACATGCAAGATTTGTGCTTTAAACATACGAATGAAACAAAACACAACTCCAGACCTGTTTGCGATGAGGAAACAACGTTATAACCGATCAGAAAACGGCGTCGTACGAGCCCTTTAAGACGACATCCTCACGCTTTACTCTTAACGTCTTCATGCCATAACCACGTACAACTTCTCTCAAACGTCTCCACGATCTGTAACTCCATAACAGTTTGATATTTTGCCCATATTGCCTCTTCTCCGCGTGAATACAAACTGTGGCCTCATTACTGATCTCACGTCGGCGGTTCGGCCTCATCCTGGTCGTTTAGCGTCACGTCTGACAGCGGCTCTTGTAATCTTATACCATGTCTGCTCTGTTGTCAAATATAGGGCAAATACAGAGAGCACACACTGGATTAAGCTCTAAGTCAATTGGCTACGCTCATGAATACTTTAGACCGGGTTTAGGCGCTGGTAGAAAGTATTACTCACACACGCAAGAAATTCAAAGTAAAGGTGAACCGGGTAACTTTTCTGGTGGGGGTTTTGGCACAGCCTAGTCTCCATGGAGATGTTGTTGCCTTGCCCGAGAATATTCCACAGCTTGGCGTTCTGTCTCGGATCGGTTTATATTGTTCAAAAGTACCGTATTTTTCTGACTATAAGGTGCATTTAAAATCCCTTAATTTTCTCAAAAATCAACAGTGCGCCTTATGTATTAATTTTGGTTGTGCTTATTGACCTCGAACCGATTTTATGTGGTACATGGGACGCTCAAAAATCTGTCAAAATGTTTTAGTACGACTTTGGTAAACTACGAAGCCGCACAGCTTGATGGATTGTCGGAGCAATACAGCGATCGTAGTCAAGAGCTTCGCAGAGTAATAATCTCTGAAAAGTTTCACGTGAACTATCTCCAATGTGATAGAAAAACAGAACAGACTCACCATCAGCAGCACAACCTCTGTCACAGAAAGGCAAGGCAAGGCAAGGCAAGTTTATTTGTATAGCACAATTCATACACAAAGTAATTCAAAGTGCTTTACAGAATAAGAAATACATTAAAATCATAATAAAAACAAATCAAAACATAAATAATCGTGAAGATTAAAATTTTTAAAAAGAGAGACATAAATTGGAGAGAAGAGTGCGGAATGAAAACCTTTCAGTTATATGCACAGTTAAACAGAAATGTTTTGAGTCTGGATTTAAACAGCGTCACAGAAGAGTCTGTCTCACATGTTCAGACTGTTCCAGGTTTTAGCTGCATGAACCTGAAACGCTGACTCCCCTTGTTTAGTCCTGACTCTGGGCACCAGCAGGAGGCCGGTCCCTGAGCTCCTCAGAGTGCGAGATGGTTCATACGACACTAACATGTCACAGATGTACTTTGGTGCTCGGCCATGGAGAGACTTGTACAAGCAGAGCTGCTTTAAAGTCCATTGTTTTAAAGTCGAGTCGTATCCTTTAGTCCGACAGAAGCTGAACTACATCGAGCTGTTTTTTTCATAGTTTATAGTTTATGCAAATGAGCCATGTGGTTTTAAGTTTCATTTCTGTAAAACGTAAACAAATGTGCGCAAAGCTGCATTAAACACATTATTACTCAATGTATATTTGAGTCATCCTCATAGTAAAATAAAAAAAAAAAAACTTAAATTATCCACCCACATTCACATTTATAACACACATTCACCAAGACAGGGAGACAACGCTGGGCGAATTATGTCATGATCTGCCAATGGATCGTGGATGCCTGGGCTAAAGGATCAGTCTCAAGTGTCGTCCATTTGTTTCGCTAAATGTGCCTTATAATCCGGTGCACCTTATGTATGAAAATAGATGAGAGAATTCAACATTATTGATATTGTGCCTTATAGTTCAATGCGCCTTAAAGTCCAAAAAATACGGTACCTTGAAGACCAGGCTGTGAGTGGGGTTGTCTTTTCATAGATCTGACCTGTAACTCGGCCTTTTGGCAAAAATAGAGAAATACAGAAAAGCGCATTAGCCATATTGGTTGTAAACCAAAAAAAATAAAAAATTCAGATTTATTTTTTTTATTTTTTTCAGGTCCAATGTTCAAGGTTCTTTGTCATTCCCCCTTGAGGCCCAGTGATCCAAAGAGACATAAAAACAAAAATAAAAAGTAACCAATATTAAAAAAAAAAAAAAAAATAAAATTAAAAATTCTATACACTTTGAAATATTCAGTTCACATTTTTTCCTTGTTATTTTTTATTATTAAAATTTTTGTATTATAATTTTTATTCCTTAATTTCTTTATGTTTTTTTATATTCACTTGTCTTTTCTTTCTGTGTGTTTCTGTGTGACATGTTGACGGAAAATAAATAAATAAATAACACACACATACACAAATATTTTAGACTGAAGTCTGCTAAGGTAACTGAGACTTTGTAGTGAAATTACGTTGGGGGTGTTCTACATGTATGCGTATAGTGGCATGTTCAGCAGTTGCCATGGTGACAGAATATTAACACTGACAAAAAAAGTTTTAAGATTGTCTTAAAACTCAAGAAAAAATACAAAACGCGAGCGTGTTTAGATAGCGTGTGACTGTAATGTTATTTTTTAATAGGGACTTGTTTAATAGTAAAAAAAATCATCCCATCTGTTGTAGTTCCAATTAAATCAGCTCTTTCGTGTCAGATTGTGTTGAAATAAAAGTCAGATTCAAGTTTTCCAAGCCTCAGACAGAGCACGCCTACAAGGTCAGCAGCTTTTAGACACGATTAGACCCAGTATTTTCCATTTGTAGATAAATAGTTTCTTAAATAATTGCCGTCTTTGGAATTTGCTAATTG